GCTTATGAAACTGCCTTTTGGATTCTAACAAAAAAAATTTCTTGTGAAATTTTGATATAAGCTATAATCTGCTCAAATCCTAAATACACCCTTACCTTAACTAGAGCTGTTAAAAGTCCGATCTTTTCAGTTCTGACTCTGTAAATAGGGACTTCGATTAGGACTTGGTCCTTGAGTCAAGTCTGTGCATATAATAATAATAATCAGTATTGTATTTTGGTCAAATCGATCTCGATGCAAATTAACTAATCACATGCATACCCTTCTAGAACAAAGACATGCATATAGAGCTTTGTCTAGAACAAGCTTGAGTCAGTCCTAAAAAGTCTGTGTGAAGTCGACTCAAGGACCAGGTCCGACAAGCTTTTTAACAACCCTAACCCTAACCTAAAGTAGAAACTTAATTTTTCGTTTATAAAAGTTGTTTTGATTTACAGATTTACAAATTAATAACTGTGTTCAAACACACTGTATACAAATAGTAATTTTCTTATAGTTTTTATTTAAAAAAAATATTATATAATATTTTTAGGGGCTAGTTTTTATACTCCTAAATTTATTATTTGTATCCCTATACTATAAATTTCTGACATTTCATGTGATCACATGAAGTGGTGATTGATATCTGAAATATGATTAGGTAGTAGTATTGTACAAGACACGTATATAACAGTATTATTGAATATCTACAAACTTAAACAAAAATAGTTGAACTAACGATCTGGTCTTTTATTAATAGTTTTTATGCAGTTGTTTTGTCAAAACAGAAATAATATATATGAAGGCTTTTTATTAAATAGTTTACAATTAGAATTCGCACTATACATAAGCATCTATTTATTTTTTTTATTTTTATTTTCCTTTTTGACCGATCATTTTTTTCCAATAAAGTAATCAAAGTTTTGAAGACTAATCTTGCTATTCCGTTATCAACATGACTAATAACCAGTATATATTGTTTTAGATTGTATATAATTTTAATTAATAGATTATTCAGTCTAATTATTTTTTGTGCCTTGTTGGGCTATTTATAATTTGTAATACACAAGTTTTGTTCACCTGCTATAGGTGAACAAATTTGCATATCACAAATTAGAAGTGAACCAATCACACAATAAAATGGCTATGTATCCATATAAAAAATATACAATAAAGTAACTTATTTTGCCATAGTTCAAATGATTGTCGTAATTTGATAATGATACATTTTGTTGTGTACGACTTATCGTAAAATCATAACTTTTTTCCATAAATTTGAAGGCACTAATCAAAATAAGGAAATAAAATCCTAATATGGTATAGGTATAGTATGGTTAATAAAATTATAAAATCCTAATATAGTATAGGCATGGTATGGTTAATAAAATTATATATACAAATTAGTATATATAGAAATAATAATTCTAAAAGGGGTGTGGCTCTAGACAATGGGTTAAATAGTTTTAATTAGTAGTAATCTTAAAGTACAGTCAACCCTCCATAAATGCATACCTTTGGGACCGGCTTCAAGCTATGCATTTAGAGAGGGTTGCATTTATAGAATAACCAATAGAAATATAGCATATGTATGTCACGTGAAATGATTATTAACAAATAATATTTTATATTTTAACATATGATATGTACATATGTATATACGTTGTGAAATTGTAAAACCTTGTAATATACAAATACGCTACAATACTATACTAATACCAACTTAACACTTTAATTAAACCCTAATAGTGGTAAAGCTACGATCGAGGTGTGGAAAGACTCTGAGTAACTAGGATCAATTAGAGCTCTAGATTATATTACAGGTCTCTGTATATAGGTTATGGGATTTGGTTACTAATTTCTATCGTATTTAGGTTTTTACTTATTGGGGAATTAGTAGAGAAATACTTCTACTCTTATTTTGAAGGTTTTTGAACTCCAAGCATTGTCTTTATTTGAAGGGAAAGTATTGCTGCTTTTATACATTATTTTTCATATAGCGTGATTACAGTAATAACAGTAAGTTTGGACTATACTAACTATTTTTTTGTTTTTCTATTTTACTCTTGATTACCATTATTTACTTAATTATGTGGATGTTTGGCATGATTGTAATTTATAACTATCATTACAACTTGTGCAAATTTTTATGTTGTCCACGATCTTCGTGATTTGTGTGATTCAATGAATTATTAGAACTGTACTACCTTGAGACCGCAGCATCAACCGGGGTGCAATTAACCCTTTTACAATATATATACGTATTTACATATCCCATTAAGAACTTTAGTTCACTATTTTATAATCCTATAATCACTTTTTATTTTACTATATTGTTAACTTATAACAGTACAGTACTATGACAATATTGGTGTCTCTCAAATCTCGATCCCTATTTGAATTCAATCTATCAAGAATACAATTCTTATTGCCCAATAAGCCAATAAAATGACAAATGACTTTATTAAAATATAATGAAAAACATATAGGAATCGGTTCACTATCGTTATAGACTCACCTTCTATAACTAAAATATTATATCTTTAAAAAAAAACTATACTATTCGAACTAACCGTCTATAAACCCACTCTTGACGTATTGAAGCTACTATGCCTATAAGAAACCAACTTATAATCTCTAACCAAGCTATAATGTCTAAGTATACTGAAACAGGTCATCGAGGAGAGATCCATGTAGCTTCAAAAAAAATCAATTATTTAGTCATTCATGAAGTGATAAAGATGCTACTAAGTTCAACAAATGGGTTCTTGTGGAGCTTGACATTGCTTACCATTGCCAATCATTACCTTAGCTCAGACTCACCAAAATAAGCGATAGTAAAGTGAAAAATTACTTCTTACTACTAAATAGACTGATTATCAAAAACAGTTTCTTTGCTACTTTGTTCACAAATGCTCCATTTCATTTTTTTAAAAAAAATTGGTAATAGACTAGAAAAAAACTAGACATTCACACAATTAAATAAAAAAATCTGGTGATAAAGTTGCACGTGAAAAATCAAATCTGCACTCACGCCCTTATACTCAATATAACATCTAATCGATTGCAAGATTCTGTGGAGCAACTCCATTAAATTGTGTATAGATTGTCTGATTAACCCCAGGTAACTTATTTATATACTTTAAATACTTTTTAATAGTGCAAAGCAAAGAATGGTCGCAAAAAATATTCATGGCAAAGAATAGTCGCAAAAAACATTCATAGCTTTAGAACAGCGTCAATATACACTATGCAAAAGAATTTAAAAAGTATTTTAATCTTGACGAACTTTACTTAGAAGACAAAATAACCTATCGTTTATTGCATGATCTTAAATTATAATAGGTGGAAACATTTTTGTTCAAATTGCCTTATTGAATTAGATTTTTAAAAAACTTTTATTACTAAATATTGAATTTGAATAAGAACAGATTTACTGTAAAAGGTCTGGGTTTAATGCTTGTATATGTTTGGTTCTTGCATTGTGTTTAGGTCATTAGCCTTTGTTTATAGATCATAGATTGTATTAATGTGTTTGGGCTTACTTTACATTACATATATCTATATATCCTTTATATATTTGAAATAAGTTAATTCTTTTGTATATTTATTAATTTATAAACTTTATCGTATGAAATTTGTGTTGCTTTCTGGAAATATTAGAGCGGTAGGCCCATAAAGATTAGCCAATCAGATGATTATCTATGATATTCATTACTCTATTACTGGTATTTGATTGGCTCCTGTATGACGATCACCATGTGATATGCATTTGAGGAGATTAATATATCTATGGGCTAAAAAAATTATATGTATTTGCAAAATATGGAATATGCATTTATTTATTAGGCCCATCAATAGGCCAGACAATTTTTATGTATTTAGAGAGGTTATGCATTTAAGGAAGTTGCATTTATGGAGGGTTGACTGTATATAGGATGCAATGCTATGACGGTATTCAAGAAATTTGAAAAAAAGATACAAATAGCAATAAATTCTAAAAAGACATAAAATGTGGCTATATAATAGATCATGAAAATACACATGAAAGTAGTTATTAAATTCTACTACTAATTTTATTAACCACTCTTATGAATATTACTATAACATATTTAAAGCCGCATCTTATATTCTTTTAGAAAGAAATTTTGAAAAAAAAGATGTAAAAAATCCTAAAGAGGTATAGTGCGTGGCTCTGGAATAGATTGTAAAAGTTTGTATAAAAAAGATATAATCGTAAAATTAAAAAGATGAGATTGTGAAACTATAAAGATACGATTGTTAAATTAAAGAACAAATGTTTCAAATTAATAAAGAAAGGTAAAATAAAAAAAAACTTCATTACGTAGCCTAAAACCTTATTAAATTGATAAATATTAAAATTTTCATAAAATATAAAAAGAGTCTGGAGATAAAAGTAATTGTAGATTAAAAATATTTTAAAAAAGTGATCTTATTTTTGTTTTTAAAAATTCTCCAAATCTACAATAAACTGTAAATATTTAAACGTTCATGTTTTTTGTAATCTTCATTTTTTTTAATCTTGTAAAATTTCACCCCATCTTCATTATAATTATCCCTAAATTAATTAAGCCTACATGAATTAAGTTTTAAAATAAAGCAATTGTGCTAGCAAATCTTTTAAATAATTTGTCAAAACAAATATGCTTCTACTTCCTTCTAAAATATACAATACTGCTGATGAACTTTTTTAAAATGCTTAAAAATTCGCAAATTCTCAGAGCTATGCTCTAGTTAAAAAAAGAACCCAAAAAAATATGCATAGTGAATTAAAAAATATGACAATACGTTGTGACTGAGGTAGTGTTTATAATAACCCCCAGGGTTCTAAAGAAACAAATAAAAACAAAAAAAGTATTAAATTAATAAATTGTCTTTTTAAATTATATGCAGCTCGGTGCAATAACCTGTGGTATTTAGAAGTTCATAATGCTAAGCATAATCATAGTCTCTTAGAAGATATGTCAGGACACTCTATTGTCTATTGACTAAAAGATGAACAGATGGAAAGTGTTGCAACAATGACTATCTCTGGTTCACATCCCCACAAAATTTTATCAACACTTTGACAAAGTGATCCATCAGTACTAGCCACTAGTAGTGATATCTATAATATGCGTTTATAGCTTCGACAACAAAATCTGGCTGGCTGAACCTCCATTCAAGCGTTAGTTGATGAACTTCAAGAAGAAGGCTTTTTTTATAAATACAAATATGATAATTCTGGCTTCATTACTCATTTGTTTTTTGCGCACAATGACTCAATATCCCTTAATCATCAATATCCTACAGTAATTCTCATAGATTGTATCTACAAAACCAATAAATTTAAAATGCTATTATTAAATGTTGTAGATATAACCAGTTTTAATACACATTTTTTTTCTGTTTTGTTTTTATGAAAAGAGAAAGTGAGAAGAATTATAAATAGGCTCTAACACATATTATAAGAATATTTGATGAGGTACAGAAATCTAGTGTTATTGTGACTGATCGTGAACTAGCACTCATGAATGCTCTTGAAATGATCTTGCCCAATTCAACAAATCTGCTTTGTAGTTGATACATTAGCAAGAATATTTTAAAAAATTGCAAACCACAGTTTTTAAAAGAAATAGAAGACAAAGAAGGCAGTGAATAGGAAAGTTTTTTGACAAAATAGAATAGCCTAGTTCAAACAGAATCAGAAAATGAATTTGATGAAGGGTAGAGAAGTTTTTGTTCTATTTATAGTAATAAATCTAATGTATATCCTATCTTTAGATAGTACTACAAATCGTCAAAATTTTTGCAACCAATTATTTTTTTGTTGCAACTAATCGATTAATCTATTAATCATTAAGTTGCAACTAATCAATTAATCAATTAATTAATTAAATGATTAGTTGTAACTTAACACTTAATCGATTAATCGATTAGTCTCAAATTAATTCTTTAATTAGTTAATCACAACTAATCAATTAATCAATTAGTTGTTCAATTGATTAGTTGTTAACTAATCGAATATTTCAATTCTCGATTTGTAACAATATCTTCAGAAAACCTGGATACTATTAAAAGAAAAGTTTGTAAAGACCTAGACAAATAAATTACATCACTTAGAAACCACTATAATATCTTGTATTGAGGGTTTATATACAACATTAAAAGCCTACTTGCAAACATTCACAGGAGATTTCTATCATGTTTACACGGCAATATCCTTAGTACTAACCAACTAGAAAAAAGAATTTGATACTATGATTGCATCAGAACGTATTCGCATTCTAGCTTTTGCTATTAGCAATTCCTTGTATAAAAATATTAAGAGTAAAGTATCAACCTTTGCACTCAAAAAAATAAATGATCAGTATCAGAAGGTAAAACATGCAACTATGCAAGAGCCCTTACTACTATACACAGAGTCTTTCTCAAAAACAATGGGCTTACTCTGTATACATTTTATTTAATGTTTAGAAAATGATCAAAGTCTATTGATTAATGATGTCCATAAGCATTAGTGGATTCTAGGAAACTTACCAGCACCACAAATTAAAGAAAATAGCTCTGATCATAAAGACCTACTGCAACCTCTTTTGCAAGATCTATAGTGAAGATATCAAGAGTAGCCAGAATTCTAGCAATTAGCTATACAAGATACATTACAAAGCATAATTGATGAACTATCAATAATCTTACAAAATTTTAATATAGTCTGTACCAAAGGATATCCCTTCAGAGCTTCTAATAATCAAAAAATCAACTCAACTAAAAGAGATCCTTCCGGCTTTGAATTAGTAAATCCTAAAGCAAAGCATTGTACTATTTGCTGACAACTTAAGCACAATGCTCATACTTGTATTAATAAAAAATAACTCAATATAAAAAATGTTTAATTAGTTTTTTTTAGTTTATATTTTGTAAGCGAAATGTTGTAAATAAAGTTTACTTGCTTTTTAGTTTAGGTTTTAAAATTTACAACTTAGAACCTGCTAATTTTTTTTTTTTTATGAATACATGTTAATATAAACCCAAGTAACTCATTTTATGGTCCAAAATTTTAGAATAAAAATGTTACATTTATACAGTACTATATAATAGCTATTAATAATAATTGGCAATAGTTTTATGATAATAAAGTTGATATCTTGTACATATTAATTAAGAGTAGATGTCTGTTTAAGAGTAGGTATCCATTTAATTAAGAGTAAATGATCATTTAGAGAGTAAACGATCATTTAAAGAATAGATGTTTATTTAGAAAATAGATGTTTATTTAGCATCTAGATTTGATCACATATATATGTGGTATATGTACTAATTATATTTCAGATATTGATCACTATCCTACATAATCACGTGAAATATCAGAAATTTACAGTATAAGAGGTACGAATAATAAATTTGGAGGGTATAAAAACTAGCCTCTATTTTTATTTTTAACAAAAATAGGTCAGATATAAATTTATAAAATTTAAGTAGTTAAATTTGCTTGTTTATCTAGATGGTTAAAAGATAATATAAGCAAAATAGTTAAAATATTATTACTATTAGATTTTAAACTTCTAATTTGCTAATATGAACTATTTTATTAAATTGCTACACTTTTAAATTTTATAAACTTTTTAAATAAAAATAAATTAGTAATTTATTGTATTATAATTTTTGAGATTGCTAATTACATATAAACAATTAATAATTATACTTTTTGTTTTTGTTTTTTTGTTTTAACTTTTACTTTAATTTTTGTTTTAACTTTTACTTTAACTTTTATTTAACTTTTGCTATTTTTTTGCTTTTCTTTGCTATTTGGTTTTTCTTCATTGCTTGATTTTTTTTGTTACTTGATTTTTTTTTGCCACTTGATTTTATTCTTATTTTTTTTATTTTAATTTTTTTTGTTCTTTTTTTTATATTTTTTTTCTTGTTTTTTTTTGTATTTTATTTTTTTTGTTTATTTTTTTTCTTAATTTTTTATTTTATTTTATTTTTATTTTTTTTACTTATTTTTTTCTTTTTTTATTTTATTTTTTATTTATTTTATTTTTTATTCTTTCTTATCTCTTTCTTTTTTCTTTTCTATTTTTTTGTTTTTTTTGTTTTTTTTTTGTTTATTTTTTTTATTTTGTTTTTATTAACTAATTACTTTTCTTTTTTATAAATTTTAGCTTTCTCAGTCATTTTTAGAATTGTTATTTTTTGAAAACATTCTTTAGATTTATTGTTATTTGAAATTGTTGTTCTTTGAAATAATTATTTTTAGATTTTTCACTTTGTAGATTTTTTGCTTTATTTTAAACTAGTTTGTATTTTAATTTTTTTTTCCTTCTTTTGTTTTAAAACTAACAATTTTTTTCTTTTTCTATTTATTATTTTGTTTGTTTTTTTTTGTTATTTTTCTTTTTTGTTTTTTTTCTTATTTTTTTTTGTTTTTAGTTTTTTATTTTTATTTTATTTTATTTTTTTTATTATTATTATTTTTTTTTATTATTTTATTATTGGGTTTATTTATATATACCCTAAGGTACATGTACCCGCATCATATGACCTATATAGATCACTATAAAATTAAACATCAGGTGTAACATTACACAATCAAAAAAATTTAAAAACAAATATTCGTTTTGACAAAAATTGCCAATTTCGCAAGAAATTGCATACTAAACCACCTTCTGTGTATTAATAAAAAGTTTTCCTTGAGCAATTTTACTATATAATTGCCTAATCACTAACCCTAACATAGTTCTCACGCTAACTCTAAACTAACATAAACAATATCGGTATTACTGTTTTTGTATGTAATATCGTATAATCAAAATAAAGAGTACAAAAAATTTAATGTACCCTACGGGTACATTTACATTAATTCTTTATTATTTTTGTTTCTTTTTTTATTTTTTATTTTTTTTATTTTTTTTTCTTTGTTTTTTTTCTTTGTTTTTTCTTTTTTTTTTCTTTTTTATTTTATTTTTTTTAATATTATTTTTTTATTTTTTTATTTTTATTTTATTTTTTTTATTTTATTATTTTTTTGTTTTTTTACATTTTCTTCTCTTATTATTTTTTTTTTATTTGTTATATTTTTATTATTTCTTCTTTTTTTGTTTTTTTCTCTTTTTCTTTTGTTTTTTTCTTGATTTTTTTCTTTTTTGTTTTTTTTATTGTTTTTTTTATTTTTTTCTTTTGTTTTTTTTTCTTTTGCTTTATTCTGTTTTTTTGTTTTTTTTTCATTTTCTTTTGATTCTTTTTTTATTTTATTTTATTTTTGTTTTTTCTTCTATTTTGTTTTCTTTTCTCTATTAGTTTTTTATTTATTTTTCTTTACTATTTTTTTTTGTTTCATTTTCTTCTTTTTGTTTTTTTTTAAATATCTACTAATACTCTTAATTTTTATATATGATTTTATTATTAGTATCATCTTTTTAGATCAAATATAGTATAGCTTACCATAGTATTTTCAGAAATTATGCCAAAAAATCAGTAAAATTAATTATATTATATAGTTATACAATCTGATTATACAACAGGATCTGTTATATTATTTAACACAAATTATTTATATATTACATATATTAAAAACTTTATTATGAATAACAAATAAAGAAACCTAAATTGACAACTTTATAGATACTAAAAGACAAATAAATAAAATCTAAATTAGTTAGAATAAAGACTTAGACAATATTTTCTGTCAAAATCTTAAATAGAAGAGAATTTTAGCTATGATTAAGAAATTAATATTTTTCTAATCTTAAGTTCAAAAATATTATTATTTAAAAATTAGAATTAACAAAGTTAGCTAAGACAGTGGTTCTAAAAGATCCAAGTATAGTAAAAAAGATATAAATTAGAATCAATATAACACACCAGAAGCTTGATATCTATTATATAATTTCTAAAAAATGGTTTAAAAATAAATAAACAAAAATAAAGATATAAATGATTTTATTAAAGAACTTTAACTTAAAGCTACAAAATATGTTAATGTAATTGAATAAATTTTTTTTATTGATTAGTTATTGTTCAAAATATTGGTAAGAGGATTTGGCTCTGTATTTTTAGAGATTAAGTATTAAACTATTATTTATAACAGAAATAGAATTGTTTTAACATTGATTAAAAAACTAGCATTTTTTTAATCTCAAGTTCAAGATCTTGTTATTATTTAAAACTTGAAGTTGGATTTAATAAGTATAGAATGCTTAAATATTATTTGAAGTCAGCTGTAGCAGGTAATTTTATGAGAAATATTAAATCTACTACAATTATATCTCTTTATAATCACACTTTTGAGCATAACAAAAATTGTGATTATATAGAGATGTGATTATAAATTTTTTTTTTTTTTTTAACATTATCGGCAGCCTCGCCAGTATCTTTATTAGATCAAGGCATATATATGTATACATATAATTAACTATCTAAGCTATAGATCTGACATCTCTCAGCTACCCCAAGGTATGCCCAAGAGCAGTTTGCCTCACCGGTTAAGGCTTTTGCTTGTACCGGAGGGCTATACCAAGCTAGCTATTGAAACTATACCAGAATAGCTTCATTTTATTTATACAAAAGTTTTTAACTACGACTAACCAAGATTTTTTCTTTTTGTTTTTTTTCTCCTCTTTAAGTTTTCCTATTCCTTTCTTTTTAACTTTTCCTCTGGTTTGATCTTGGTTTACAGCAAAATCTCCTATAGATTCTCGTGTCTGTCTTGTGCTAAGAATTAGACCT